TGAACTTAATTAATCTGCATAGTGATTGCAATTATAAAAAGAAAGAGTAAAAGCTTGGATTTATAATTAATAAACATAAGATTTTTTAATGGTCCATCATGCAAGATGTAAAGGAAAAGCTTATTTTCTTAACAATAGACTTGGTAAACCATACAAAAAGCACATATAAGCACTCAGTGAGTTAATCATGGTATTTTGAAATGCTGCTTTATTGCTCTACATTTCTTTCACTCAAAGCATTTGAAAAAAATGAAAATCTTAGCTCAAAATTTTTGTCTTAGAAGAACAATTAAACCATTCACAATTCGTTCTTTCCTTTTAATCCTAACTAGCAAAAAGCCTCTGAGGTTCTTTTTCTGTTCTTAGTGCTCAAAGATCCTATCAAAAATCATTTAATATTCATTTTTTATTTCCTTCACTCAATTTATAAATACTCTACAATTTAAGTTTATCTATGTTCATCAGAAAGATGTCATCAATAATTTGTCATAATTTATTACCATATCAGGTTTTCATGTTTTTCTATTTTATGGCTGACTTTAATAATCTCTATCTACTCAAAAAATAGATGATTTTCATAATGCCTCTATGGTACATAAAGGCTGTCAAAACTGCTCCAATTTATAATCAATTACTTTTTGTTCTTTATCATGCAAAACAAAATATACCATTATAGTTCAATTAATTGGAGAATTATTGCTGCAATTCAGTCACAAATCATCAGTCATTCTTGGAATCCCCATAAATATCTTTTCATATTCAGTAAATATTCATACTTAATTTATTAAACAGCCATTCCATTGTCTAAGGACCTATTAGACACAACCTTTTCATAAAGGCATATTTCATTTTTGACTCCAAGAATGTGATATGAATATTTCAATTTTTCATAGGTATGAGATCGTTGTGATATAAAATACATTATTTAAATGCATTTATTCTTTCCAGAGTGTCCAATGAAAGTTCATCCATGTCTAGCCTGTCTAGATGTCTTCGATTAGAGGAATCCTTACCATGACAATAGGTACCCCCTCTCCATAGAATAATTTATAATAAATTATAGATAATATTTAATAAGCATAATGTTTACGTTCTTAAATATTATATAATTCTTAAAATTCATTAATGAATAAATTCCAAATGTGTAATTAGGGAATTCATTTAATTTATCTATTTTTTATAAAGCACTTCTGAAATAACAATCAATGATTCAAGTTATTTTAGCTTTTAAACTCCCTTTAACAAAATACATAAGGGAACCTGCCCCAACAACTCTTAGATTTCAGCTAAATGATCTTCATATTTTGAAAAGTTTGGTTTTTAAATTTTAAAGTATTTCAAAGATTGAATATTTTCTAATTATTATTTATGAATTTATTTATAAACTCTATTATTATCATAGTTAATATTATATGTTTAGATGAATATTGAATATTCAAAATAATAATCATATTCTTTCATCCATCTATTGAATTTTGAATAAAATTAATTTATATTAATTTAATAATATTTTGCCAACAACACTCTCAATTCTTTAATTAAGTAGATGAAATCCTGAAATGTAATTAATAATTTTTCTGCTTTTAAAACAATAAGTTTTATTGATTTAGGTCTTTATTATTTTATTTGTTTTATTTATTTATTTTTATCCTTTTATTATAATATAATTATTTATTATTTTCTTTCTTCAATTTCTTCAAAGTATTTGTTAAATTTATAAACGCCTTATTTTTAAAACAATCTTTTTCTCATTAGCTGCTGGTTTATCTTTTACTATTCCTAACATTTGTGTAGGTTTCTAATTATAATCAATTGAATTAAATCTATCTCTTAAGTGAGCATGAATTTTGGAAAGTAAAACATGATTAAATTATTATTAATATTATATATAAAAATATAAAATTTAAATCATTCAACAATTTCATTAGTTTTGTTATATTTGTCTTTTTGGGTTTAATCGCTTTTGAGTGAAGTAAAATCAAATTTGTTAATTATTCTCTCTACCCAATTATATATAATTGTTATCTTTATCAATTTATATTTCACTATTGTTCTCTGTATTGTATCTCCATATTATCTCTTTGAAACCATATCTAATTGACAAACTTTATCAAATTATATTATTGATTTTTTTCTTGTCTCTTTCCAAGTTTAATTCCATTTTAAATTTGAAAATTTTTTTAACTAATTTTTATACATTAAAATACGTATTTGACTTTTTAAATGTTTAAGAATGGTTATTAAAATTGATGTAGAAAATCAAAAATTCTCTTATAATTGTTACAACTCATAATCTCCTTTATTGTAATTAACATTTTCATAAAATTATTATTGTAGTTAACATCTTCAGAAAATCTTCACTTTAATTAACATCTTTATAAAACCAGTTACACTGTTTTCTAGTTAAACTAAAATACATATTATGCTTTTCTATGAGTTAATTTCTAAACTCTTATAATCCATGATCTATATTTTTTTTGACTATCTTTTATTTTTTTATTATGTTCGTAGGATCTCTAATTCTAAAAATATTGGCATCTTCTTTGGGATTACTTATTCTCTATTTAGAATATATAGAATTTCTTTAGAGATATTCAAATCATCTTTGCTAACTCAATTTACTCCTGTATTATTGATTATATCAATCATAAATCTGTACAACTTATTTTTGAATATTATTACCACCAATCACATTTCTTCAAATTATGCTATTCTCATATTGCAAAAATATACTTACATTAAATACTCTTATTTTATTTAGCATCCGTCTTTAACACAACATAGATATCCATATACACTTAACTTTCTGATTAATAATTTATGATATTAAAAACAATCATCCAATAAATTATTAACATCACATAATTCATATTCTTAAATATTTTCATTACCACCTATGTTTTATATATTCATTTAAAATCATTCAAAACATAAGCATTTTTAAATTAATTTTGAATTCCTCTATGACAATCTAAAACGCACTTTAAATCTACTATTAAAACACTAATTAATTCATATGTCTCCATTTTCTAATTTCAATCCTAACATCACAATCTTCAAATCCTTACTAAAATCCCAACTCCACTTTTAGTTTTTACTCTCATATTTTATAAATATCATCCATTAATTTCATCATATATATAGATATTCTTTACTATTAATGTTAATAATTAGGATTATTAATAAATGACACCTAGAAAAAAATTCATATAATTTTCCCAATTTATCAAGTTGGTTTTCATTATTTCTATGCTGTCTTTTATTTCCTTTCTTTTCCAAATTCTCCATTATTGGTATTTTCTGCTCAGGCATTTTAATTTTGTTATCTGTGATGATTTTTCACTATGGCATAACTCCCTTTAATTATTCACTCTTTTCCATTGAGTTCAAAAATATAGGCTATTAGTAGGCTTTAACACAAAGCTTACCACAAAAATCTTTCAATTTATGATTATTGTTTATTTCATGAATACCTAAATCAATCAATTATGACAAAAACTCCTAAATCTGAAAGTCTAATCTATCCTCCTTTCTCCCTGTTTTCAATCTAACAAATTTTATCTAAATTTATGAACTTTCAATGTTCAATAACATAAGTGCAGATGTTGGTATATTGTAAATTATTTTTTAATCTTCTTAATATTTATAAACATCATATTACTATTATTATTGTTTCTTCTCTGCTTATTATTTCTTTAATTCCATTTCCTATTTTTATTTGATCCCCTAAATTTATTCATTACATTCTTTTATCCATATAACTGATTCTTATAAAGATTCTATGAATGATAAACCAATTATGTCTTCATTACAGTCTGAATTATTTTAACATAATTTCGAAACTATAATTACTCTATTCATTTTTAATTGTATGATAAGGCTTTTCTGTTACTTTCAATTCTTCTTATAATTTCTTAGTTATATTTATGAGCTTTCTAAATAATTCTTATCTATAATTAATTTAATTAAGATTATTACTATTAGTGAACCTTTTATAAATAAAATAAATTTATTGTTAAATTAATTAATAATTCTTCTTTTATAAATAATTATATTTTTATAATCTATTAATATTTTCATGTTAAAGATGAGAACTAAATTCATTTATTTTAAATGTTTCTATGAATTAGAAACTTAAATATACTTTTGATCATCAAAGTTAATTTACCAATTTTAATATTTAAATTTTCTAATTCTAATGGATCTCCTATTAATTCATCATTCATTTAATTTAATGATGACAACAAGCATGATATCAAATATTTCATCACAATGATGATAATAATTATTTACTTATAACCCTAAAGTAGATAGAGTGCCAGTTTTGTTAAAACATAATGTAACGATCTTTTCTGCTTCTTCTGTTTTTATTGGATTAGAACCAATAATATCTTCTTTTTTTAATTTATTATAGAAATAGTTTAACAATAGGTAATCTTGGTGGAACACATTTTAATATCTTATATTTAGATTATTTTACCTAATGATTATTAAATTTCTTGAATAATCCTTATATTACTATAATGTATAGAGTAAAGTGAAAATTGATAAACCAATAAGGCCAAGGATTACCAAAAATTTACAAGTTTGAAGATATAATTGTTTGGAAGATGTAGGAGGAAATATTACATTTCTAAAACGCTATACACGTACCGAACTATATCCTGTTCTTATTACTAAAGCAATATTTTATTAAATTTAGGAAATTTAAATCACTTTAGTATGAGATATATATGCTATATTTATTTATATCTTTAAATAGTGTGTTATATGTTAATTCATTTGCTAATTCTTTTATTGATTATTTAGAAACATGTATAGATTCACTCCAGATAATAATATGGAATCACAATTCAATTATTAATTATCATGGATATAAAAGAAATCTCCACCTACTAAATCCCATCCTTAACTTCTAATTGTTATAATTAGATTCTTGATGCATATATCAATTGAAGTAAATATATTCTACCTTGAAACCTATCTAGATCAAAATTATAAAATTACCTTCAGCTATCCATAAGCAAATTTAAAAGTTGAAAAGTATTGAAATATATAGTATGGATTTGTTAATTCTTAAAATAAATAAGTGAATATAAATTTTATTGGAATTATTCGTTGGTAAATGATTTAACGAATATCTCTTGATGTTCGACTATTTATCAACTAACTTTTAAGATTTATCGCTAGAGTAAACATAGACTCAAGTTAATTAACAGGTGTAGAATAAATTATCTTTTAACAAATGTTTAAGAAACTGTCTTAAAATCAATAAGCATTTTACCTATATGTAAAATAGGAAATTTGTTCATACTACTTTTCTTGCAAATAAATAATTTATTACTTGAATTAGATACAATGTAATGTGTACATTCTTATTCACTTGTTTTATAAACAGAAAATATTTATAAAGTATTTAATTCCATGATAAATATAAAGCACAAGCAAAACACCACTCTATTGACAAAATAACCCAATAATTTTATAAGCAATAATTACAGCTACAACTATTCTCACCTTACTAATCATTACAGGAACAACTTCTGCTAATTAATGTTATCCATATTGTAATCATAAAATTGAATTATGCAATTTTTATTTATACAAAATGATATCATACTTCTTTAATATCCCTTTTACAAAATATTTACTTTAATAATTATATTTTTTATGTATTCATATTCCTTATTACTTAATTTATTGTGTGTAAATATATTTCAATAAATTTAAAGAATATTATTTATTTTTAAATAAATCAATTTATTATTAAATATTAACTATTACCTTGATCTGAATCTTCTAATTCATTATATAATTCACTCAATTCTTATTCATCAGAAACAAAACCAATTGAAGTCAAAAATTCTTGCAACAACTCAGTGAAATTGGTTCATTCATCACGATCTATATCAAAAAATTAAAAATTCTCTGTATATTTCTAGACTTCTGCATCAGAAAATAGTCTATTTCGAAAATAATTTAATCTATATAAAGTAGTTCAATGTATTACTTACTTTCCTGAATTAAAATTCCATTTTCATTCCTAAAGTTGTATATTCAATTTCAAATAAACCTTATTAAATATTTTAGATTATTATATTAAGGAATCATTTTTATTGAATTTCATATTACATAAAAATACTTAAAGATATCTTAACGAATAAATTAAAATTGAAAATAAATATTAATATTTTTTCTAATTATCAATCACAATCCCATCTTTTTCTTCTTTTGGTAATCTCTATTTAAATAATAAAATAGGATTAGATAGTATAATTTATTACATTCTCTTATAATTACATCATGTTCATGAAAGTCTATTTATTTTTATTATTTTTATATATTTAACTAGTAATCCTGAAGATATCATAGAAAAGATTATGATTTAATTTCATATGAAGAAATGATGATATTCATACCTATCTATCTATGTGTATCAAGTTTTGCTTATATTTCTGTAAATTATTCGAAGAATTAATCACTTTCCATATCATCATATACTATAAGCATTGACTGGCGTAAAATAATTTGATAGAATTTTCTTATTTTTAATTTAGTTTTATATGCAATTGTTTATGAAAAGCCTTCTTTATCCAATCACTAATTAAAGTTTCAAAACAAGTTAATCGTTTTATATTTTTGCAATCTTAACAAATATCCATCCATTCATCTTAAAGAGATTTTACTGGATTAAAATATATTTTTTAAAGTAATTCCTTTAATTGTTCTGAAAAGAAAGGTGGTTCAATACTCAATACTATGTAAAATTAAAATTATACATAATATTGTATTTGGATATCAGGGGAGAATGAAAATTATTTTTTTTTTCATAATAATTTTATAAATGGTTTATTCTTTTGGTTAAGTAAAAGGATCAAATCCTGCACTGAGAACATTTGCACCTGCTCCCAATGCATATCATCCAAAATTTGTGTTCAAATAATAGGCTCTTCAATGGACATAAGCGGAATTTATTTTAGAAGTATTGGTGATGCAGCATAAAGGATATGACTCAAAGATAGAAGGACCCAAATATACTATGAGTGGAAAACATGATCTTAAATTAGTTTCCTTATCTCCAGGTCCTGGAAATTATGATGATGAAAGTTTCAGTTCTGTTTACAAAAAGCAACTAATTTATACATTAGTTGGTCTAAAATATCATACATCATAACAAGATATAGTACCTGGTCCAGGACAATGTGATTTAAAGTTTTCTTATATCTCTAACAGTCCAACTTAGCCAAGATTGACATCGTTGAAAGGTGGAATGACACCTAGATCTGGATGGAAGATTAAAGAATATATTTAAAAAACATTATGTAAATATTTATAAATTGTATTGTATTAGAGAAATCATAACCTTCATGAATAATAGTGACATCATAGAGATTTTCTGAAATGAGGAAGTAACACTTATTATAATCAGAACCTGAAGCTTATCATTTAATATGCTTGTTCAATTTATCCAAATTTTTTACTATCAAAAAGAAGTTAAAGCTCTAATTAAATTGATCCTGGACAATATGATTAGGATATTTCAACAATAAAATCTAACTATTTATCTTACAAAACTGGTTCTGAAATAAGAAATATATATAATTAAATTGATAAATTGATTCCTGGCCCCTGAATAATATTACAAGAGTAACATTATTAATTAAATAATCTTTAGAGGACTGGCTAAGTTAAGTTCATTATAGAGGTCAGCTTTAACTTTTTAAATTCCATATAAATTAAGAAATGATCTAAATGATTCTATAGCCATAACTCCTGGACCTGATACATAGATGGTCTCAATTAAGGGATCTAAGTATAATCCCAATATTTCTGCATACATTTTAGGGCCTGGATAATATAACCCAGATGATTCAGTTATTAAACCAAAAGATGGTTTTGTTAAAATTGTGCCAGAACGTAGAACTGTTAACATCTGGATAATATTCGATTAAATCATATCTCAAAGGCCCTTAATGGGGATTCTCAAAAGACATTCGTTTAGGCTTAATCAAAAAAGAACTAATTCCTCGTTATGGAGCTTACAAATATTCCTCATAAATATTATGATTTTCCAAAGTATCTATAGCCGAAACAATTTTGATTCTATTAAATTTAATATTATTTGAAAAAGTATTAGCTTAAAAATTGAACCATTATCTCAAATCTTAATTAACGGTATTCTTAAATAAAACTATATTTTTTGATAATTTTTGCTCTAAATTAGAGATGAATTTATAGGATAAATAGTTAAAGTTTTTAATTATTACTTAATTATTTAATCAAAATCATTTTGATCCCAAATTTTAAACTAAATCCCTTCAAAGCTATGGATAAATAAATGTGGGTAATGATTTTAGAATTGCTACTTCAAAAGAAAAATAAAAGGCATTAATTTTGTGGTACTCCAAAGTTATATTGCTACAGAAGTATTTTTAACAGAAAATGAAAATGATGCAACATATGATGAGAAATGCGATGTTTTTCTTTAGGATGCCTTCTTTATTACCTTTTCATTGCACTATTTGGATAACCATTGAAATAATTAAATGTGGAAATGAAAATTGACTTTATTTAATTAGAAAAAGATCTAAATTTGAGTAATTAATTAGTGATATGCTTAAAGAAGATGTTATCTAAAAATTAATAAGATTGACAATCTTGTAGAGAAATACTTGAATCCAAAATAATAGAAGTGGAATATAGAGAAGATGGTAAACCAGACCAAAAAGAAGTCCTCTAAAAAAAAAAGGAATGTAACCTGAAATAGATAGAACTCATTGTTATTGTTAATTTTAGAAAAAGATAGAGTGTATTATAGAACTGAATGAAATTATTTCATTATTAATCAAACCAATACAATTTCTTAAGCCAAATGAAAATGGAATAAATACTTACTTTAATTTTCTTTATAAATAATCAGATAAATTAGAAATATCTATAATTGATGGGATTGAAGCCAACTCTTATGATTAAATTCTTTTGCATTATCGTAATATTTATCTAATTAATTGGTAACTGAATTATCTATTCCGATACCATAATCTAAATTTATTGTAAATAGATATTTACCTTTATCTAAGAAGTTATTACTTTTTTAACTTAAACATCAAAAAGAATTTTTTTTATTAATTAATATGGTTAGTTTTTTAAATTCAATAAACTTTAAAATAATTGATGGTTTCAAGCCCCATACATCTACGATTAATCTGTAATTTATCAGCATCTACTCCAAAAAAACTGAAAACAATAATTTGATTAATTGTTTTCAATATCATTTCATAAATGTTTTCTTGTTATTCATCATATAAAATAATATATTTTTCAATTATCTAATTTATGTTATTTAAACTTATTTTCAGTTTATTACAGTCAAAATGCAAAGAAAATAATTCCGTTTATTGTTTCCATCTATCTCCTTATTGAAATAATATTCCCTCATTGAATAATTAATTATATATATTGTTAAATTACTTTGTATTTAAATTATTAATTTTAGAATAATTTTCATGATTAATTATAATTGATTAATCCAATAACACGTATTTATAATAATCAGGATCAATAATAGAGATTTTTATAGTAGAAGCACAAATTCTAAAGAATGAATTTGACATTTTTATTCTCTAATTTTTTCTTTATTTTTTTCTCCATTAGATGTGCTATAGTTTATTATATTTATATTTTAATTCATATCAAATTCAAATATTCCTTAAAGGCTCTACTAAATCCTACTAGATTTTCCAAATTATAATTTTACTTTTATCATTGGAATCAATGGTTTTATCGCAAAGAAAAAGAATAATAATCCATACTCTAATGATAATATATACAATCCATCTCTTATTTATTTTTACATCTTAATTATTGGAACAATATATTGAAGTGAGAATAATTGTGATTATTATTAGAAATTAGCAGAAGTATTCCGAATAGAATATTTCAAGTTTTGTTTTTGATTGAAAAATAATAAAACTATATAAAAAGATATTAAAAATAGATTATGATTATAGACAATAAATATTAAAAAATACAGAAATAAATTTAGATTGCAATTTTTAATATAAATTTAAATTATACAATATTTAACAGTTTAATTTAAAATTACTGGTTAAACATAAAGGACGATAAGAGTTGATAAATAAATATAAGATCCAAATTATTATTTATATTGTTATAGAAAGTAATTTCAAGTGAAGTAAATCTATTGTTTGGATTGTGAAAAAACAATAAGTACAATTTATACAGGCAGATAAATGAGAGAATTTCTATTTCAAAATAAACATAAAGATAGGATATTGACATCTTTATGGTTAGCATATTATGAGATCATAATTAATCGATTTAATGATAAGCTTAAGTTATCAATTCTTCCAATTAAGAAGTAACATTACTAAGATAATTATTTTATATATTTCAATTATAATCAGAATTTTAGAAATGAAAGACAAAAATATGATCGTTATCAGATTCAACAACCTTCGGATATAAATTTCTTTAAATTATACTGTTAGAACAGAGAGAAGAATAGAAATTAAGTGAAAAAATATAGAAATTCCCCATATCATAACTGAACACTCTGATATTGGTATTTGATTTATAATTTATCGCATATCTGATTTGTAAATATGAATATTGAATTAAGTAGTATTGTTAAAAATGCTTTTTCTTAAATTTGTGAAAGCTAATGCATTGAAAAAGATTAACCATCAATTGATTATAGTTCTCAGTAAATATAGAATTTAATTCAAAATAAGGTTTTATAGACATGAACAAGCAATTTTAGATTAAATGGTTTAGTACATCTCTATATTATGTAAGAAATTTATAGGCTTAAGAATCAAATGAAAATGAAGTAAAAAATAGTTCTAATGTAATTAAAATTTTATAAATAACCCTAAAAAAAGTTTAGCTATTGCTTAATTTTATTATGATAACTTTTTATTAAGAATACAATTAGTTATTAAAAATTCTATTGATAATATGTAAAATTTAAATATAAAGATAGATTTTTTATAATTTTATGTAAATAATTAAAGAATCTGAAATTATGTTATTATAATAGGTTTTAAATCTTGAAAAATCATTTGTTAACTATACTTCTAAAATAATCTTTTTTATGGAGTATATTTCTTGGTTAATATTTTATTATTTTTTGTAAATTGTTACCAAATATTTTGATAATTAATATTTTACTTTCGAGTGAGAGATATTTTTAATATAAAATCTTGTAAGTTAATTAAAGCAGGAATGATCAAGAAATTTCAAGGAGGTATTTAGAAAAAAAGAAGATTATAGAGAAGATTGTCATTACACTTCTAAAATAAAGAAAATGAGGAAAAAAAGTATTGGTGCTTTTCAAGAAGTAAGAAGAGTGCAGAAATGATATATGCGTAAATATTAGAGTATAAAATGGAAATATGTTATGGACGTAAAAAATATATAGAAAATCAAGATTTGTAATTAGTATTATTTTTCAATATAAGCTCAATTAGATATAGTTCTATATATCGCACTATAAAGGCATTTTTAATTAAAGGATAAATAGCCTTAGATTATGATTAAAAAATATAATTATTTAGTTGATGTTTGAAAAGTTGTATCATTATAATTTACAAAAGATATTGATGTTAATGCAAGTAGAAACAAAAAAAAGCAGTAAATGATAATAGTTGAAAAACAACCTTTTTAAGAACCTTTCCCTTACCTAAGAAATTGGGTAAGAGATTTTGGCCCTCTCCAGAAATATGACTCAAAGAAAAGATCCATAGAAAACATTCTTTTATGCTAATCAATATATATATAATTTCCTTCAAATACTTGAGTTAACAAATCCAAAAAAAAGAGAGAAAACTAAATGGAAAAATGTATTGAAATTTAAAAAGGGATATTTTTATAAATGATTATAAGTAATTAAAAAAATAGATATGATATTATAATCAGTTAATCAGTTTAGTATTAAAGATATCTTTAGAATATATATGAATCATCTATCCTTATTATATTATAAAAATTACAGTATCAAAAATATAGACAATTAAGTATCTAATATTATTATAACTAAATATTCTTAATGTTGTAAATTAATATAAAACATTGATTAATTTAATTATTTTAAGTATTTTTTCTCTAATTTAATATGTTGTTGAAGTTTTTTCTTGATTTAGATTAAAAAAGAATGAAACTTTAAAAATTGAGATATTTCTCAAAAGAATTGTTTGTAAGAGCTATTAAATAACTTAATAATGTATTTAGGAATCATTAAAATATTAAAGGTAATAGGATTCAATTATTTATAGGTGAATTGAAGGTTGAAAAATGTGTTTAATAAATTGAATTATTATAATCAATTATTCAATCAATTATGGAATCAAGAAGCTATCTCAAAACTTGCAATTTGTTTGATTTTGCTGCTGAATAAGTTTTTGAAATATTGTTGAATTACATTAATTAGGAGAATCAGATTCTTCTATAGGTAGAGACAGAGATATTTAGTTTATAATGGCAATGCTGGTTTAAATAAAATAATATCAATATTTTTCTCAAGAAATTAATCTTATGTAAAAGTAAAAAATTAACTCTAAGTTAAATTAGTATTAAAAAGCTTTTTCATTTGTTATTTTCTTCTTATAAATAAGAAATATATTTCTAAGAATAAGCTCTTGCTATCTAAGATAAGGTTAGTACTCAATTCAATTATTTAGAAAGAATTAGTCAATTTCAAGATTTGCTCAATTTTTTCGAGATATTATTACATTATCAATTTGTATTTTGCTAAGATTTTTAAAAACATCCTCATTATAAGTTCTCGAAAAAGAAAAAATTAATTTCTTTTAGAACTGGGCCTAAATTTTCAGTGGTCATTAAAAATTATTCCTAATTTAATTACTTTAAATTAATTTAATTACTTTAAATTTATTTAATTTTTGAATCATATTTAAAATTTTTTATGGTATTACCTTATCGAATCATTAAAAAGAGAATATGCTATTTAATATCTAAAATAATAAAATACTCTTTATTAGTTGTATTAATGTTGAAATAATAGATATAATGAGAACTACTATACTAAAGATTTAAATAGAATTACTTCTGTACTTAACACAAATAAAATAGACTTAATAAATAATTCATTAGAACAATCAATACTTATAATATAAAATATTCCTTTAAAATTATTTTGTTTTTATCATATTAATGTTGATTTCCATCAACAAATTTATAATGATATATCTAAGGTAATATAATTGCAGATGGGACTTAAATTTATTAGAATGATATGAAGAAAGGGATGAGAAAATAAATTCGATAATTTGAAATGTAATGATAACATTAACTTATTCTTATGTTATAATTTATTCAATGATAAATGTGAGTGGCCTACTACAGACTTAATTTGTATTTAAAAAGAGTCCTTAATTAAAGTCAGTCAAACTTATGTATATAAATGACACAACATAACCTCCTGAATTGGAATGTTAAGAGTTTACAATTATAATTAAAATTTTCTACACGTTAAACTTATTAGTATTGATGTATGTATGAATTTACCAGCTACATTTTACTTTGATCTAGATATTTAAAGAATAAAAATTAATTTTTCTAATAAAAAAAAACTACTGTTAAATTATTTATGATGGTTATTATTGAATTACAATTGTTAATTGTAAAAATAAAATAAATCTAATTGATAGATAAAATAAATATTCTAAGGTGACATAAAAATAATCATAGCCCTATTTTAGTTTGTATGTTAAAGCCAAAAACTAATTTTGAAATTTGTAATAACTTAAATGTAGATCAATTGATAGAGACTAAATTTTCAATAAATTAGCATGTTCATCCATAAGTGAACCCCCAATAATTAAATGGGAAGAGATTTGATTAGCATGGCTTTCAGGGTTTTTACAAATAGACTCTGGAAAGTTTATACTGCTTTTAATTTTATTAAAAAAACAAACTTGCTTCAACTAAAGATGAATTATGTTAGCTATCTTATTGGAATACTGAAAATTAGGGAAATGATAATATTCTATAGAGCTTAGAATTTAAATTTTAGGAGCTTTCTTCCTTGATTTTCAACAGAGATGGCTTTTATGAATTGTGAAGTTTAGGTATTTGAAGAAAAACTTTATCAGTATTATTAATATTATGGTTAATTCTGCTAGTTTTGTGAGCTTTATTTTCTAAAGGCAAGAAGATTTGTTTATTAAACATTAAAAAATTATCTTTCTTTATCTTAATACATATAAAGAATTGTAATTGAACAAATATGTTGAGATAGATCTTAAAGAAAATTGATATAGGATCGATTTGAATAAAATAAAAGGAGAGAGTTAACAAATAGGGGATTTGAATTCTGAAGTATTGTTTAATATAATAAATAAGCATAGATGATGACAAGCAAGAAAGAAGCTGCAGAGTAAGCTTTGGCAGTTACTATGTTTACTTTAATAAGACCTTAAAGAGCTTTTAATTCAATAGATAAGATAAACATACAGTAATTAAACGAAGTCTTTGAAATATTTTGATAAGGTTTATGAAAGCATTTATAGATTCATTTGTTATATATCACATGGATAAACTATTGCCAGCCCGATCATTTAATATGAAGAGCAGTAATATTAATTATCCATTTTTAAAGCATTCTTTTTTGGAAATTTCAAATTAGCTCTTTTATTATATCAACTTCATAAACAAGATAAAGTGGTATGAAAATATATGGAGTTAATTAGAAAATCAACCTTTAAGATTTAGTTTGCTTATTTATGAATATTACAATAAATCTTGGAGTTTTAATACATCAAGAAGTCTATTTGTAAATTCACGAATGTAGTTTTAAAGTAAAAAGAAAGGAATGGCAAAAATTAAAAGAGATTTAAATGAAATTAAAGATGAACTGAAAGAGTCATTCTAAAAATCAATAGAATGGAATCATTTAAGGAACAAATTAAATAATTTAAAACTAAAAAGAGAACTCCATAATTTGTTTGTAATTTTTCATTTGATATATCATTTATTTTTTATTATGGTTAGAAGAATTCTATTTCTACAATGATCAAAAGATAGGAGGTATTCTTGATGGAAACTAATAGACTTTTTTAGTAGATAATACCAATTAATAAGGATTACCCAAAAGATCTATTATCTATTAATAGTGTAATGATATTCAATTCTATTATATATCCTTTATTAATTGAACTATATTGATAAATTGTTACTTAAATAGACTTTTTTATAAATTTTTATGTTTTATAAATTAGACTATCTTAAATTTTCTCCTTAACTAGTAGTTAATGTAATATTTAAAGTGTTTTAGAATAATAGTTATTTGCTTTAAGTTATTTGTTTCAGTGAAATTTTTAGATCTTAAAGGAACGTCAAGAAATTTAAGAAAAGATAAATAGTAATAACAACCTATTTTTTTAGGTTATTTATTATAAAAATGAGAGTATGTTTTCAAATTTGGTAAAGTGAAAACATGTCTACTGATTAAGCCTTAAAATTAAGGAGACAAAATGTTATAATAAGTTTAAGAGAATCAACAGCAAAAGTATATATATTACTAGCACAAAAACAACATTCGACAATGCAAGAAACACTTGAAAACACAAAAAAAGCTAATATGACCTTCCAAATTGTTTGAACAAATAAAATTAAAATTTTGAATAGTATAATTTCATTCCTATATTTTTGTTCTAACAAGACATCTTCTAGTGATCTTTTAGCCATATGTATATATGATATTTCATTCATACTGTGTTGCTAAATAAACTCATAGAATAAAAGACATTATGCTTTATTGCATTTCCAATGAATGGGAATCTAATTATGCTTATACGACCTATATAATTTAACAAGCTATTTATCCAAACTTTCTAAGCTCTACATATAATTTATTCTTCTGTAATTCCATCTTCTTAATCTGCAATAAAAAATCTACTTTGGGATACTTTATTTTGATCCTAATACTTTTAGAACTTAAACTTTAAATCAATAAAAATATGCTACTGAATTTAATTATTGCACCTTTATTTTTCTCCTATAAAAGATAAAATTTATGGTAACAAAAAGCGCAGTATATCTTATTATTGATGAGAATATACAATTAATCAATAAAGTTCTTAGAAAGATTAGATCCTTCTTTTAGACTATTCTTCTTTATTAATAACTTTTTATTTATAAGATCTAATTGTTAACGCACTCACTAATTCGCAATTACTTTCTTTTGCTCACATTGTTTATCAATAGGAACATCTAATATTTCCAATTATGTTTGCTTTTTATTATAATTTTCGTCTACTTCAAGCTACTTATCTATTCCTTCAAGTGTCAGATATTATAGGTTTAATTTTAACAACTTGTTACAAGGACTCCTTCAATTAATTAACTTTTTCTAACAATTTTTAGTTCTTCTAGTAATGATAATATTACTTGAATTCATTAATCTTTTAATAGATTCTGTATTTCAACAATTAAATTTAAGGAAAAACAATTTTTCTTCTCTTAAAGATATTTCTTCTTAATATTATAAAATTATATTATCTAATGTATCTTTAAATTTATTGATAAATTCTTATATAATTGAAATTTTCTATCAAAGTAGTATATTCAAAAAATAATATAGTTTAAATTTAATTAAATAACATCTATTCAATTCATAAAAAATCTGTTTTTTTGTGTATAAAGATTTATCTACAGTTCTATAAAATAAGATTTCAATAAATTGTATGTTATTTCAAATTTAATTCTAATTAATTTTTTATACCTCTTCTCCTAATATATACACTCTGTTAGAAACTTATAATTAGATATTACTTAATATTATTCAATTGACTATTGCAATAAGCTAAGTTGAGAGGCTTCCATGTTACCTATACCCTTAAAACTATAACAAAAAAAAAAGTTAAACCATTTATTTAAGATTAACTATTAAAATGTAGATTTTTATCCTATTTTGTTCTCATTAGTCATACTTATATCATCTTCATACTGTTTGTTATGTGTAAAGTATTTTCTTTTTTAAGATTAAATACTCTTCTCCTCATCTTCATCTTAGTGAAATTAACAATTTAATATAGATATTTGAAGGGCGTTTCGTATTTTCTTCTTCTTATTTTTTTGTGTATTTTCAAATCACAAAATAATTGATATTCAACTTATCTTTTAAGTTTTAAAGGAGAAGCAGGAACTAAAGGAAAATTTGCAAAATGATGATTATCAGATTGGATGTGCTGCTGCAACTGGAGCAAGATTTATTTTAATGAGTGTTTGATAAGATATTTCTAAAACTAATTATGGATAATTACTCACAAAATCAATATGAAAAAGCGTTAAGATTAATAATAAGCAATGTATATTTAGTCTAAAAATTTAAATATATTATAAATGGGAATCAAATAGCTTCAGAACTGTTTAACGTTGAGTGAGACTGATGATAACATTTGCGATACATTTCTTGAAGGTTGTGTTAATAATGGAACAACATGTTTTGATGGCATTAATTGTGCAGAATTCAATGATTCATGATGCGAAAGATCTAAAATTAATTGTAGAAATGATAATGGTGCAACAGAAACAGCTGCTTTCTAAACAAGAATTTACAATGATTAATCTCTCACATATGATAACGAGAAAGAACTCCTGAATAATGTGATAAGGAAATAAAATAAATAGATTTTGGAATACAAGTGTTATTGCTGGTACTTGTGTTGATAATTAATGCACCCATATAACTCTTGGAATAGGATGTATTACTAGGTTTGTGTACATGAACAAATGAAATATGCTTAACATTTTCAGGAAATTCAAAGCTTGTATTTCAAAGTGCATTACATGTGATACAAAAACAGAAATAACAAACAATGCTGATTGTGAATACTATCATAATGATAACAGATTTAAATAAGGAGACACTAAATTTATGCAACATTAAAGTATTGGTTATATAGTTATTGGTGTTGTTAAGGATGATAAACAGACTTATTGTAATTTTATCATAACATAATCAAGAGGATTATGTTATAATGGTACATTAGTACAAGAACAGATTAGCACATTAACTGGTATTTCATGTTTTGATTATAATTGAAATGCATCATCAAAATTAAATGGCACCTATTGTTATGCTGCTAATACTTGTTCTTCAGATATTATTCTAGCTGTTGTTGCTGCTGCTGATAAACTCGTATGGTGTAGAGGAATGTTTGAGAATACAGTAACTTCTAAATCATCTATTTATAATATTAATGTAAGCACTACTAACTGTTCAATAATTCACATATGTGAAAAGGTTATTCATCAACAAATGCAATTAAGAATTAAAGTGTGAAATGTGTTAAATAAAACTGCTGGTGGAAGATGTATTACTACTAAAAGAGTATGTAGTATTTATTCTTTGGCGGGAATCCCTGCTACTGCTTATTGTTCATCTTTAAGATATATAAATACAGTTGTTTTAACTTGATGTAAATACTTTGTAGCAACTTCCAGTTAATTGTATGAGTAGAATATTTGCAGATATTTCATATCCTCCTTTCTAAGATCATGTGATAAAATTTTTAAAAATAAAATATTTTGTCTTAGTATAATCTCAATTTTATTCACAAAATAAAATAGTTATTAAATGAATTAACAGAAATAATATATTTATTAATATATTTCTCACTTAAATGATGACATTAAAGGACACTGCTTAAATTTGAAAAGTCAAGTTTCAAAATCTTATTTTTGTCTTTAATATTGACCTGATGAAACATACTAATTGTGAACAAGACTTGAAAGGATTCGGTTAGATTTAAAATCTAATCTTATAATTAAATAAGAGAAATCTTGAAAATTAAATAACTTAATTGAAGAAATCTTTTGCATCATTTAGAAATAAATTTGAAGAATATTCACAGATAATAAGTAGCATGAAGAAATAATTAATTAACGTATCTGAATGTTTAATTTAATAAGAATATCAGTTCAATTAAATTGTTATTTCTAAAAAACAAATATTTTTAAGGACTTAATTAGATGCATTTAACATTACTTTTTATTTATAATTAATATGGTTCAGCAGTTGAGGGTTTAAAGATAATTCTTAAAAGAGCAATGCTATTAAATTTTTGATATATATTGAGTTACCCTAAATTACTTAAATTTAGTACAGTCGAAGATTGAACAAACCTGAATATATTAATTATATAATCAATTTTAAGCATCTTTCATAATTTCTTTTAATTATCCTATTTTATAAAGATCTTAGAAATACATTTCATAATAATTAAATAAAAATTTCTTTAGAGAAAATATATGAGTATCAATATTAATAATAGTATTATTTGTTTTATTTTGAGCAGTTCATATGTTTAACTTTGTAAAGATATCATAAGAAATAAAATATAAATAAAATTGATTGAGATTATAATATTTATTAAAAATATTAATATATTAATATATGTATTGTTTGGATTAAAATCTCTTGTTTATAATGCTTCTTAATTGATAAATATTAGGATTAGTAATAATGGAGTTAATAAATGGAACAGAAAAAAACAAGATAAATAGTTTGTTTAGTTCATGTTATGTAAATTTTATAAATCTATAATTTAATTTCTAATATTCTTGGATATAAATATTGTAATTTTAAATTTATAATATCTATTTATATAATTAAATTATTTTAATATAGATATAATTAATCACTAATAAACCTTATTATATGTTTCATTAATTAATAACATTCTTCAATTAGGAGGTAAATTTTTAATGACATTATTATTTATGTATGATGGAGTATGTTTTTATTGTTTGATTAATGCTATAATATGATAGTCATTAGCAGAAATAATTAGATTTTCATTCATTCTATTTATTCAAAAATAATTCATTATTAAAACTCTCATTTATGATATTATAATCAATATGAATTTGGGAGAATTAAGAACTGTTAATCAATCTCTAAATATTTATTAAGAAGTTTATATTATAGGACTATAAATTGTTTTAATATGTAATATTAATAATAATATTATCGGTGGAGGATTATTTATGTATGTTTCAATGTTAAATGCAAAAAGAAAACATTAAAAATAGACAGGAGTAGATCAGAAATAAAATATAAAATAAAGATCAAATAGTGCTAAACAAAAAGAGAATGAGTAGTATTTATAAAAAGAATATTATTATTGGTGTAAGAGTTGCCCATACATCATAAATTGGTTATCATTGATTTTATAAAATATCTAAATATATTTTGTCATCTTTATAAAACTTTCATAAATCATATAAAATAATACATTTGAATGAAAAATCTTAATTTTAAATGTAACAGTAGGTGGTTATATTCTTCCGTAAATTCAAGAAGCAATTTAAATATTCCTCCATACCAGATAATTTAATCTGGTCCAAAAATAACAACTTCTCATAATAATATATTATCATCAAAAGGTCCAGCTTAAAATCCTTGTGGAATCATTCACTTTAGTTTTTATAGATCTTTAACTAATCTCATTCTTGAATTTGTGGACATTATTATTATATGATTTTAAGTATTATTCTGTATTATTAAATATATATAAAATATATCAAAAATTTAATTTGACATTTAAAAAATGCTTTACCTAAATGTTTTTTCTTTTGTTTGATCTTAAACTGTCAAAAATGTTCTGTTATGCCAAAACATTTACCACAAAAACAGATGGAATAATATTTATAAATCCGTTTTTTAAATAAATTTAGGTGAATTTAGTTAGTTTGAAAATGTCTGTCTTCAAACCACTATAGACAATTATGGCTGTGAATTAACTTTAAATAAATTAGCTTGTTTAAATTAATTATTCATGTGACTATCACAGAATGGTAACAATCATAGATTCTTTGTAATTAACTTGGATTAAATTAATAAGGATGCACATCTATAACCACAAAAGATTAAACTTATATTTTTAAATATTAATACTATAGGTACTCTGAAGATTATCATCAACATACAAATAAAAGTGTAATTTAATTTTGAATCGTTTAGGTTGTTTATAGATTTATAATCCAAAATTAAAGTGTCAATGGAAAAACAATAAATGTATGGACTTCATTGATAATAAATAAACATATCAATAATTAACAGAAGTAATCCTATAGATTGTTCTGGCTTTGATGGTAGGTATGCGTTTATATGATTCAATAAATAAGAAATGCCTAAATCCTACTAATAATAAATTAGAAGAGATGAAATGCAATGCTTTTGGATTAACCAAATAAGCATGACTTTAAATAAAAAATTAATATTGTATAATTTTATTTAAACAAATTGAAACATACTTGTTTTAAAGGAATTCGTTAAGAATTGTCTTATCTAATTTAAAAATATATTAATGTAGGATGGATTTAAATGAAGATGCATGTATTAATACTCCTGGTTAAGAATGTAGATGTGATTAAAATTAACGTTCATAAATAACTTCAAAAGAATAAATTGCATAAATTTAATCTATATAATTATAATTTGTTAGTAATTATGCGTAGAATATGGTAAAGAACCTCCTAGATATTTGGATTTATATAAAGATTGTGTAAATTCTATAGTAGATAATATGAATTGTGCAACTCCTGGATTAAATTCTTATGCTTGTGCAACAGCAAGTGGTAGTTGTTATTTTGATACAATTTCTAATTCATTTTAATATGTTTCAAATCCATTTTCTACTTATTTATTAAATAAATATTTAATAAATTATTATAATTATACAATAAACATTACTTACAGCTGCAGCTAAAACTGAATTATTAAATACAATAACTTGTAATGCTAGTTCTTCAACTATTGATATTTGTGCTTAGATTGTAATACCAGGATAAATTTGTATATGGTCATTTAGAACAAATAGATATTAAAATTTATATATTCCATTTAATCTCTTTATGCTAATTTCTCTATATCTAATATTTTATAAATTCAAATACTTGTGCAGCAATAGAAAATGAATTTCCTGATTATGATCCTATATATAGTGCTAAAGTTGATTTAAATCGAGCAAATTGTAAATTTAGTACTAAAACAACTAATTGTAAAGCTAATAAAGATAGTTGTTCTACTCATTGTTGTACAGAAGATGATATAACAGAAATAAATGCACATTCTTGTAGTAAATATTCATCAAAAAGATGTTAATACTTATTGTTTTTTTAATAATGATTTAAATGTTCATACATGTTTATAAATTCAAGTTATATGATTAAATGGTCAACAAAATAAAGATGTTATTATAATGGTTCATCTAGTATTAATATTAATTATGGAAATTATCTTGATTATTTGTGTTTTTGTTACTCTACCTAAAATAATGAATGAAAATGCATATTTAGGTAGTGAAGCATCAAAAACATTAAAAAATATTTTACAGATGATATATCAACATATACTTTGTAATTTCTAAGAATCACCAATAGATACAGAATCATGTGAATAAGTAATAGAATTACAAATGGAGATGGTTATTGTAAATGGGATCCTATAACAATACCAAAAGATGAATTTTTATAAATAAAAACATGTAATTATGGTTAAAATAAAAAGGCTTGTATTCGTCATGGAAATTTAGGATGTTAATTTAGTATTATTAATGATAGATGTATTGAGGCTTAAACTGATGTATCTTGTACAAATTTTGAGAGTACAGGAATGGTAAGTTCAACAGTAGAGTGTTAATAATTATAATTTAGATTATATATTTAAGATTACATAAGATAAATAGATGTATAAATTTGATGAATCATTTAAATGTGCTCATTAAGATGATGTGATGAAATTTAATATAATGGAAGTAATTCATTTACTTGTTATTATAAAACAACATCTTCTTAATAAAGATGGGATCCAAAATCATTAAAACGTAATAAAAATAAAACTAAAATTTCTCTTTTAGGTTGTAATGATTATTTAAATAAGAATTTATTTTTATAAGTAACTAAAGAACCATGTATTTGGTATATATCTAAATATAAATGTTATAAAGCAGAGCAATAGACCATCCTCATTTAATAAGATTTAAAGTGGAAGTGAATTCAATAAATAAACAAGTATGACTTAAATTGGAGATTCATATTATTATAATGTAAAACAATTATATTTGTATATTATTTATAGATACTGATAAAGATGGTAAGTAGCAAATCTCTGCTCAAAATTAGCATCTTAAACGAGTACAATACCATTAATATTATGCTAATAAATAAGCTTGTTTATTGGAGACTAAAGAGGAATATATTGTTATTATGATACAAATGAATCAGATTTATCAAAAAAATATAAACCATTTACTGCAGAATAAACATTATGTACAACGATAACTTGAATTGATATACGAGTATACTAAATAATGTTAATTTAATAAAACTAATTTATAATTATATTATAATAAATTAACCTGTTCATCTATTAATACTGTAATAAATGATTCAGATGGAAAATCATAATGTTATGATAAAAAAGATAATTAATAAATTTGTAATTATGAAAATATTGTTATTGGAATTCTAGTACTTATACATATGATATTAAAATTTTACATTTTATATTTTTAAAATTGAGAAAGGAGATTGTGAATTTCAGGATCAATCAGATAAAGAGGGTAATCCAATTATAGATGATTAAGATAATCCTATAACTGAATAAGTATAAAAAAATGTAGCAAAATGGGTTAATGAGAAAAATTAAAATGTCCTTTATGTTTAAGAATGCTCATATAGATATTCTAAAGCTCTTTGTTTAGAAATGAATGATGCTTAATGTTATTTTGATTTACTTTAAGGTAGATGTAATCCTATATCTTAAAATGAAAGAAAATTATCTAGTTGTGATAATGTTTATAATGTTGTAAATAATAATTGTTTAGTATGTTAATCAAAATATGGAGTATGGAAAGCAGAAACTAATTCAAATAATTATACTACCAATTATAAAACTTTACAAAGATCTATTATTAAATGCACAAATATAAGAAAAAATGGATCAACATGATAATATTATAATATAATTTATCAATTTTTAATCTATTTGTATACTTAAAAGGTTCATTCACTTAAATAACTAATTGTTGATGTTGATATTATTATTAATGGTTTAAACTTTTATAAATTAAAATTCAATTTGATTTTTATTATGAGTATAAAATTGATGTATATTAATAATTAATTAAAATCATTCCAAGATTCATTTAACGGTTCTGGACCTGCTTTTCTATTTAGTTTCTTTGAAAATCCATTTGACTCTCTTAATTTTAAGTTGAGAATAAGATAAATGATTAGAAGGAATCATTTATATTACCTGTGATGATGAATTTATCTAATTGTAAGTTGAAATGAAAGAAGCCAAAAAAATAAAAAATGTAAACCAAAAAATTATAATTGCGGTGTTCTATTGATATATTCAATAAGCTATTGCTTACAACAAGTGTTGATTTTATTATTAAAGTATTCTCAATTTAATGTACTTCTATTTCATAAGGAACCCCCTATTTACTTATGATAATTTTCATATGATGGATTATATTTTGCATTCAAAAGTGCTAATAATAAAATTAGAATATTTTGAAAAAGATTTTACAGAGCCTATAAATGAATTTGAATATAATAATTTTTCTTTAAATTGAATCTTCTTGATTTTTTTATATAGAAAAATGCTTTTCAATTTGATGTTAATTTTGTGTTGCAAAATCCAAAAATATTTTCTGCATTGATGATTAACCTTAAAATGATTGGTAAATAATTTTGATTATAAAATTTTTATTAATAATTTAATAATATTATTCTAAATTAATGAGAATATGAGGGATGATAGTATCAATAATGATATATTAATACAAGAATTCATAAAAATTTCTTTTAAATTAATATACCATCTTAGTTTTCCTCATTTCTCTTCGTTCTCTAAATTTCTACTCTGAGGGTAATATGTTTAACCTTAAGGAAAACATTATTTTTACTTTAATATTGTAATTGTATTTTTATTAATCATGTAATAAATTAGTCTTGGATTTCTCATACTTAAATCCCATATTGTTTATGAACTTATAGCAAAAATTTGTTAAATATATCATAAAAATATAAGAGATGCTATCTTAATTATAGAAATGGGAATTTCAAATTAGTTTTTTTGATTTTAGCTAGAAGGTCATAATTATGAAAAGAACAATTCTTTTAGATTTGACTAAAATAGTGAAACAACATTATATCCAAACTTCACAGATCAATTCATGTTGTAGAAGGCACATCAAGTAAAATTCTACTCTAAATTATATATTTTATATAAAATAAAATATACGTGTATAAATTAGAGTAAATGATAACAACTAGATCCAAAGTGAATTATTTTAGTACCAGATCTTGTGAAATCTTTTAATTAAATGTTTTCTGGTTTGAAATCATAATTAATAATATTGCAGTCAGTCAGATAAAACAAAAGTACTTGTAATATTTAAATAGCGAATTTTGAATACAAAAGTAAAAGGAAAATGAAAAACTAAAGGATAAAAGATCAAAAGTAAAGGAATAAAAGTAAAAAGTAAAAAATTAAAGGGGAAAATAAATATTAAAATGACATTATATTTGATTATCAAAATATATTAGATATGTATATTAAAATGACTAAAATGACATTCACATTGATTCACTAAATGACATTAGCTTTAAGATAAAAAAGATATTGTTATTACTATTAAATGATCTATGATTATTGAAACGATATTAACTTTGCATTAAAATATGCAGTAAAAAATATTTTTTTAGATAAGATAAATATACTTTTATTCCCCTATCACCTATCCCTAAAGTGGTGGTGGGTAGTGCAACTCTTCAAAATTCAGCTTCTTATACCGGCCCCGACCATATTACTGTCGTTCTGAAGGGCAGTAAATTCGACAGTCCCAACCCCTAATTTATAATTCAATGATCTATAGATAAAAAAAATTTCTATTTGTTTGTTATTTTATATATCAATAATTGAAATTTTTTTCTTAAAAATTTACTTATCGAATGAATAAATAATAATTCTATTTTTAAAATATATTTATATAATTTTAAAGCAATCTAAATCCATTATAAATTGAAACCATGCATTAAATAATAATATGATAAATCCTCCTTATATGAATCATGTTGAGTATTATGGTGGCAATAAACTTATTAAAACTTCTTATTACTATAAATAGATTTTATCATTGTTAATGTTATTAATGAAATCAAATAAAAATAAGAAAATACAATAAAATATCCATTAAATTCATTTAAAAGAATCTCATATGATATGATGAGTTCTTATGGTATTTTTCATCCAAAAATAATAAATTCAATCCATTATTTTTCTCCCTATTATGTATTATTGGGAAGCAAATCACCTCCCAAATTGATTATTTGATATTAATTTAATAGTTTTGTTTTAATTATTCTTTTATTCAAAGGCTGAAATATCATTTTCATATTCAGATACCGAAATAAATTGATGATTATTTATAAAATTTATTTACTATCCACTAATTTATATGGACAACATTTTAATTATGTTTACTTTTCACAATTAAATTTTGAAAAAAAAAATATATATAAATTAACAATAGTAGGAGAATAAAAGAAAGAATGTTTGAAAATGCATTCTGAGCATAAATAATATATGGTTTTTAAGAATATAAATAACAAAATCAAGAAATAGTTATAAAGAAGTTAAATCACATCATAAAGAATAAAACAAGAGGTTCATATATAGGCATTATGAAATTTTATAGCAATATCTTCTTTAATATTCATACATTGGGTGCCAAAAAAATTAAAAGAAGATTAAATAATCAAATATTTTTCCATTCTATAATTCTAATGATCCTTATTTCTTCTTACATATTTTGATAATAGGAAATTTAGTTATTTTTAGAATTGTGAATATGGTTACTAGAGATGCATTTAATTTGTTCATCCATATAAATTAAAATCCAATATATATGTTAAAGAATTTGAATTTCGGAAGGGTTCATGAATTTATTATGCCAAACATAACAGATACTGACAAATTCTAAACTTAAGAATAATTTTCAAAAATAATTGATTTTATACACAAGGATTAAATAAATTAATGTAGATTATATATATATAAAAATGTACATGCATTAGTAACTGTGTCTGAATAAAATGTAAAAATTTTATAAAGAAGTTCATATATTATATAAAGATTTTGAACCTTTAAAAAATATGGTAAGATTTCAATTTTATGATTATGTTGCTAATGAAGATTTTTGGAAAAGATTACATGAATATAAGTAAAATAAAGATCATTAAAATTATACAGATAAAATTAATGGTGAATATTATAAAGAGTTATATATTCGATCAATTTCTTGTTAAGATAATTTTATTTATTTTGGAAAAATTTGTAAGTATGAAAATGAGAATGTTAGTAATTTGATTAAATTAAAGGTTAACAAAATTTCAAATTCAATTGCGAAATGCAAAATTGATAATTGTATAATAAATTAGAATAGCCTGCTTTATAAGCTTATTTTTATAGGCTTTAGGAAACAACTGGTAAATTAGTTCAAGATGAT